GAGTAAAATGAGGGAACACTGCTCCTCTATTTTTCCCAGAAAAAAAATTATTTCCAACTATTCTAGATAAGAAAGCTTAGTTCCTAGGTTTATGTAGCAGCATCCAATTACAATTAATAGCTTTGTGTTCAGAGTCCACACAGGCAAAACAGCTTCATAATCCATTGCAAGGAAAGTAATTGAAAATGTGTAAGAAAGCAAATAGTTCTGGCTTGAATACTGGAATCCAAGACACTCCAGAGAAGGAGCAGCTTGTATTGGATTTAGGCACACAAGTGACAAGCAAGCTTTATGTGGAAGGAGGATCAGCTGGCTGAGTGAACAGATTAGTATCCCAAACAAGCATTTCACAGGGGACAGTTCTTCCCTGGCACCACTGTTGCTGTTTTTAAAGAGTGGAGAAAGGACAGCTCTAGGAAGGTGCTCTGGTTTAGCTTCCACAGGAACAGCTCTCTCACTTTAGGGTTCACAGTTGCCAAGCTGTACAGTAAGATTTACTAATTTTAAAAGTACATTTAAAAAATCCCAGCCACTTCTGTAGCATGCAGGAAGGTTTCTTACACTGTCAGTTCTAACTATAGAATTTTATTAACAAGTGGCTAAAAATCAAAGGTAGCTTCTTCCTGGTTTTCTACAAGGGATCTAAAATTAAGGTTTATATCAAAGAAACAAAGAATACTTTCTCTTCTCTAACACTCAAATGTTTTGTGGTGGTAGTTGGGTTTGTTGGGCTTTTTTGATAACTACTATAGTTTAAATAAGACATGCAAGCATTAAGCCACTTTAAATTGACTCCAGGTGTGGTTGTATTATGTGTACCAAAAGTACAGAAAAAATACAGTGATTATATGGCCACATGCCATGTTTAGTGCTAATCAAAAGTGAGATCTAGGGTTGTGCAGAAGCCAGGCTGGCTAGGATCATGCCAATATAAAGCAGTTGACAAAATTGTTTGGAACTGTAGAAGTCACTTGAGCAACAGGAAACTCTCATTTACTGATTTAGGCATCCAGAAATTCACTGAAATACCTCTACAGGGGTTCAAGTGCACCAAACTCAGAATATGAAATTAAAACTTTTGTTACAGCTGTGAAGTCTTTGTTCTGTAATAAAACTGACAGCTAGGATGCAGAGCTATAAACATCTCCTACATTTTGTAGTTTTCCCATGGATTTTTTTTCAAGTACAAATTCCTAAGTCTGGTTGCAAAGCTTTCAAGCAGGAATAAACTGATAACCATTCTGGAATAAAGGAATAACCATTCCTCAAAAAGATGGACTTTACTCAAATAAAGACTTCCCCCAGCACACTGCAGCAGGGTTTCTATTTATATCAAATTCTTTGTAGGATCAGCTTTTTTGGGCTGTTTCTTAGCACAGCATCCCAGTCTGAGAGAAGGATAAGACAGATTTATATTTGTCAGTCTATTTACACCTAATCGGACTGGAATAATGGGTTAAAAATAGCAGGGAGTTAAGTGGCATAGAGCATGACCATGCACAAGAGATGAGTCATTGCAGACTGGCCCTGAAGAATCCTTTAACTCTGAACCTTGAGGTGTGCTCTGCACAGCCTGCAACTGCCAGTGATCTTCAAGCTTTGTCTGCTCAAGCTGCAAATGGAAAAATGCCAGTGTTCATCTCCTGTGGCTCTGGTGATGTCAACCCCAAAGAAAATCTGTTTGTATTTTAGAGGACACACACTGAGGTGTGTTCATAACCTGAGCTTGAGGAGCTCTGTAACACAACAAGGGGCAAGTGGTGCTCTGTCTAATGCTGCACTTTGCCTTTGGGAAAGACTCTCTTTTGCAATGACCCGAGCAGTGAAGATCTCTCAGTGAATTCAGATTAACACTGAGTCACCTGTGAGACAGTTTGAGTACGACTCCAAGCTGTGCTTAGCGTCAGATTTTACTGGCACAGAGAATACCAGTTATTTGTGTTAGCTCTTGGCAAGTTTTTGGTTTGGTTTTTTTCTTGAGACAAATGAAAAACTCAAAACAAGGAACTGTGGAAGGATGGGAATCTGGAAAGGTCCAAGATGTTCCAGAACCATTTCAAATAGTGTGTACTTTACCACTCTAGAAGAAGTGCCTTTAAAGACAGAAACAAATCACAAAGAAGAACTCACCTGTGGTTGAAAGTCAACTGGTTCCAGACCTCGGCATTCAAACTCCACAATGGTTTTGAATTTCTCACTGTCTTCAGCCTGTGATTGAGTCAGAAAACCATCAGTTTCCATCTAATAGGGACAGTGACAAGCATTCGTCTAGGAATGGATTGCTTTAAAGGCAGCATTGTCATCTCTGATGCTCCTAACTAGAATTTCTTTATCTGCCATGAGGAAGACTTTGAAAGGAAGCCTAGAGGGGCATTATATAATCACCTCTGGTTTGGGTGATACAGTTCTGTGCTGGCTTTTGAAATGTATCAGATTATTCTACACTTGAGACTGTAAAGAAGTCTACAAGACAATTTTTGTCCAGGGACAAGACCAGCTTTTTGTGCTCTTGAAAAAGGGTGATAAAGCAAAACTCAAAATACTGTTAATGCTTGTTAATCTTTCACATAGAAGAGGAAACAAACTTACATTGTAAGGCTTGATTGTCTGACTTAAAATATCTAAAAAAAAAAAAAGTATACAAGTGAGTGGCACTATGTCTTCAGTTTCATTCAGCACAAACCAAGCACCAGGATCTTCTTTCAAAGCGATTTCCTTCTACAAAGCAAAAGAAACACAAGAAATGCAAGGTTTTCCTGCTGCTGGTCTTCAAAGGCAGAATTCCATTTTTCTCCCTTCTCCTGAGAAGTTTACACTGCACCATTTTTTCCGTACCAATGCCACAAAGATTTGCATGCTTTTGTAAAATAACAATACAGATGAGTTTTGTTCATGCAGAAGGCAGGACTCACCAGGAGGCCTTGCTGTCCAGAAAGTGCCTTCTGGGAACTCAAGCACCAGTGCACAAGGGCAGAAATCCCTGGTGAAAACTCTTTACAAACTCAAGCAAAAATGGGGACTAAAGGAGAAACTGTGAAATGGATGCTGCCTGGTCAGTGTCCCTGCACGTACCGATGGAGTTCACCCTGGAGCACAGTTTGCACTTCTGCACCATCGTGGCACTTCCTCGGCCGCCCTTCAGGGGAGCACTGTCCTAAAATCCATGACAAGAGAGACTTTTTATCCACTTCAGCTGAGCCACTGCAAAGGTAGGGTAGTTTTTACAACAACCTTTTTAGCTTTTTAAAAATACTACAACAAGGCAGCTTTTTTTTTAACTACAGAGACTAATATTGCAACAAGTTGAGATTATCAAAGAATAATTCTATTCTAGACTTTAAATAAGGAATAATAGATATTTGTGTCTTATCCGTATAGGCATGCTCCACTAATTCTTCAAAATACATTCTTACCATTCAGCTATATGCAACAAAAAGGGATGATTATTGCTAAGAACAGACAAGGATCCCTGACAAATTTTATCCTGCTTTTTCAGCTTCCAAATCAGCTGATTTAGCATGCTTAAATCATATTGATTTACCTAACCTTCTCCAAATGGATTCCATCAGCATCAGAGAAACAGGCTATAGAGAAATATGCCTCAACCTTATTTACAGATACGTTTTTAAAACAGATGTAATACTTTGTTAGCAACGGTTACCATTCAAATGGCACATGTCAGTTAACATTCTCCAAATATTAATTTTAATATGGAACATGACAATTTTTTAAATGCATATAGCTATGAAAAAAACGGTTCTCATCTGGAGGGTAAGCTGTCACATCCTTGATGCGGATACGTGTGTAAGAGGCAGGTTTGCGTTTGCATTTTTGCTCGGACGTAGGTTACGGGGGGCGCACGCACCATCAGCCGCAGGTACTGCCACTTTTCGGAGACTTCACCGCAGTTCCCACATTTCAGCTGGAGAACACAAATCGGAAGTTTGAAAGCTGTCAATAATCAGGGATACGCTCCCGGCCCCGACCCCGCACCTTGAGGTACCATCGGAAGTCCTCGCCCTCGGCCCGCAGCCGGGTGATGTTCTCCAGCGTGGCGCGGAGCTGCAGCCCGATCCTCTGCAAGGCAAGCGGCGGAGCGGCGTCAGCCCCGGCCGGCCCGGCTCCCCCTACCGCCAGGGCCCGCGGGGCTCCGGCCAAGGCTCCCCCTGTCCCCACGGCCCCGGCCAAGGCTCTCACCTACCCCCATGGCCGCACGGATTCCCTGCTATTCCGTGCTCCCGCGGCCGTGCCCTCAGCCAAGATGGCGCCTCCACGCTCCCTGCCGGGCTGGGCCGGCGCGAAGCCGCGTCTGCCCTCAGCCAAGATGGCGGCCGCCACCGGCCCGCGCGCGGGGAGCGGGAGGTGCCTGAGGGGAGGGGAGAAAAAGCGGGAGAGACAGTTTTCAACATTACACATCAATTAATCACTATTTTTTTTTTTTTTTTAAGTCGCAGCGTCTTCTTACAGACCAGACATGTTAAGAGAAAGCAAAAGCGCGGTTTGGCAGCACTGCCATGGGGTCCGCCCTCAGGGCCTGTGGGGGACCCCTCAAGACTTCGTTAAAGTCTTTTAACGAATGCTGCACAACATGTTTTAGCCTAGAAGTAAACGAAATACATTCTAGGCTGCTTTTCAGCTTCTCTGAAGCTGAATGGGACAGTCAGTGAAGTTCCTGGATGGCTCCTCAGTCCCCTGTTGGTCTCTGCTCTGGAGGCAAGCGGGTAACCCCGGGCTGGGATGAAGGTGATGTGTGTCTGCTATAACCATTTACCTGTGCAGAGTCAGATGTTGTTCTTGGCTGGCCAACAAAATACCCAGCTCAGGATGGTAAGAAAAGTTTGCCTTGACAACTGGCAAAAGTTTTGTTTCACAGAGCCAGGCTTCATTTATTTTTCCACTGGTGTGTAGAGAAGTGCAGTGTGTGGGTGGTACAAGAGATGTGACACACTCTGAATGCACCGTTATAAAAGAAGTATTAGAAGTCAGTCTCTCACCACAGCTTAAAAATTAAAAACACAAATCTTACCCATTTATTGAGTCACTGACAGTTTGTAACAACAACAAAATAACAATCAAAAAAATAATCTAAAGTACAAAAAAATTTCAGAAATAATGATGAACTGGAACAGGATCTTCCTTTCCCATCCTTACTGCTGACATTGCAATACAAACTTCTGTTTGTGTGACTTAAATTGGCTTAATCTTGAAGTGGAGTCCAATAAGACTGAAGACAAGACATTTAAGGTCCTGGACCAGGTAGTAGAATACTCTCAAGCCTTCTGGATCTCTGCAGTTCACAAAAGAAGGAAGAAAGAGGGAAAAAAATTAAAATATTAAAAAAAAATTTAAACTGATGCTCTTAAAGAACAGGTTACAGAGCTAATGTATTAAAAAAACCCAAAGCCTATAGGGGGACTTTTTGGATGTCATCTTAGATTTGTTTAATTCTACACAGATTGATTAAATATTCTGTACTCCAACTGTGAACACTTAAAGTTTTTACAAAATATACATTTTATCATGAAAACAAGTATCAACACCACTTAGGATTTTACCCTCCCCTTCCCCAAAACTGTCAGTCTTTTCAGCCTAGGTGAAATACAGATATCTTGATTCTCCCTAAGAAATTGGCACAATGGCAGCTCAGACTCTGTATGTGTGTAGCAGGGTTCCTACAGCAGGGTCTGCTCTTTGAGTTTGAGAACACAGCCTGTAACACCACAGCTTAAAGGTATTTGGCACACTGTACTGCAAGACAGAGCACTGGTGCCCCCAGGAGCTGATTCATACTTTGAAACAATATAAAATACATGTACCAAATAATCAGGAAGTTCTAATACAGATTTTTAAATAGAAACAAGGGCAGCATAAAAAGCAGAGTACATACTTGGACTGATTTACATCAATGAGGGAACCGATTTTTGATGTGGTAAAGGAGATGTGTTCGTCACCAATTACTATCTCAAGTTCCTGAAAAATAAAAGCTTATAAGAACTTACTGCTTCATGGTACCAGTTACAGAAATACTTCAGTACTGTGATGGTTTTTATTACAAATTTCTATTACAAAGATATCAAATGCAGCAGGTCTGTGGATTGTATTAGCTTCCACAACTACATTGCCATTGAGACACCACTCAGATTTTGTTTCCCTTTTTCAGCTGGAAAAAATACTGGCTTGAAAAAAAAGTTTAGTTATGCTTCAAAGGAGCTAACATATGAAAATTAAAGAGCAATTAGAAGAGACACTATGCACCGTACCTGTCTGCCCACTCTGTCAGGAGGAGGCCACAGAGCATCATCTTCTTTTGTGATTTCACTGTCGTCGATTATTCTCTTCAGCTCTTCCATCACACTCTTGTGCACATAAGCCTGGACACAACATTCCGGCAGAGAAATGAATACAGCCCTGCCCACAGCGCCCCGGCAACGCCATCCACCCTGACCCAGCCCACAGTGCCTTTCGCTGGCACAACCGCCTCAGCCGCGCTGCCCTCACCTCCTTTCGGATCATCACATCGTTCTTGTAGTTGCTGTTGTTGGCGTAGCGCAGCTTTCCTGCGGGGAGAGGCTGAGCGTTAACCCTCGCATTAACCCACGCCGGGGACCCGCGGCCCCGCAGCCCGCCCTCAGAGAGCGCGGCCCGCCGCCCCCGGCCCCGCTCTCACCGTCGGGCCGGAACTCGAACTCGAGGAACTCGTGTCCGAATTTCCCCTTGTGCCCCACATAGTAGCGGAGGTAGAAATCACTCGCCATGGCCTCTCTTAAGAGGATCTGCGTCATCAAAGGGAAGCGGAGCGGCGCCAACGCTCCGCCACTCGGCACCCTTCCCACAGCGGCCGCGGCCGCCCCCTGGCGGGCCGGGGGTGAGGCGGCTCCGTGAGGGGGAGCGCGGGCCCGTTCCCTCAGCGCGGCTTCACCGGCACGGAGCCGGCACCGAGCGGGACACAGCCCAGTCCAGCCGGGACACGGCTCAATCCGGCCGGGACAAGGCGTAAAGCCACTGGGGAGATCCCACAGCGACACGAGGTGTCAGGTGAGGCATCGCCACACACTTTGCTGTTCCCAGGGCAGTCCCAGCGCTCGGCGGCCCCGTGAGGGGAGCAGTTGTTCACTTGTTACTCATAAGATAGCGTTCTAGTGATACTTAGTCATACCAATGAAAGAAATGATATGTAAGTGGCCATTTGTGTGTGATGAGCACTGATGGTTGCATTCAGTGCTGTTACAAGAACTTGAGTCACACTTGGTTATGTGCACACCTTCCAAGTTAGAAGGGGCCCAACCAAAACCATCCAATTTATATTTTGATTAAGTGGCTAAACAAGGAATTGAACCCTCGAGCTTGGCATTATTGGCCCCATTTGCTACCCACTGAGCTATTCTTAGCGGAGGTGGTGGAGATTCACCATTTGTGCTGATCCCAGAGCTGGTGATGAGTTAATCCCAGAGGCATTTCCTGATGTCTTTTCTGCACAGAAGGAACAAACACTGTGCGTTTATGATGTTAAGGACAATGAACTAGAAGGGGCCAAGTTTCTGTCTGCTGAAGCAGTTTGGTGCCTCAGTGGGGCTGGTGTGCTGAGATCCCTCACCACAGGGGGCCTGAGGTTTGAGAGCAAATGCACTGGGGGTGAATCCTGCCCTCTTCTGCTTTGGGAACTGCTGAAAGGAGACAGCCAGAGACACATCCTTTTGTAAAATATTCCCTTCTGCAAGGAAAATTCAGAAACACGGTATCTCTTGTGCTCATCACTAGATGGGATGTTTTTTATTGAGGACACAGAATGGGGGAGGGTGGTTTGCACTGTGGTGGTGTTGGAAATGGCTTTGCACTGATGAACATGATTTCATTTAGATGGTGCTGCCTCACATCCCTTTGCAGGGCGAATGGAGTTCTCTCTGCTTTCCTTAGAGTTATAGGAGGTTTAAATCAGGCAATATTTACTCTTTTTCATTGTTTTCACAGCTTTATGCTTGAATACTCTCAGTTGCGTTCTGCATTCTTTAGGAATGTCCATTCTATAAAATGTCTAAAAGTTGTCTCTTCAGTAGAAGAGTCTTATTGATACAGGAATAGCCAACCTGTTGCTTTATAACATCTGCAGGTACTGCAAAGAAATTAAAACATAACCTTAAAAAATGTAACATTTGTATTTGTACCAGACTGAAGGATTTTTGGCAGAATTATTACCCTTATTTTGTGAACTTGGTTGTCTAATATAAAGGTAATACCATGTACTGTCTGGTTTGTCCCCAAGTTCAGAGGTTTGGTTTTGTTTGGTTTGGGGATTTTTTGTGAGAGAATTACTTCACTGTTATTGTCTAAATTGTTTATAAGCCTTTTCAGGAATATCAGTGCTTAATGTAAATTTATTTAAATTACTATGTTAGAAGGAAGAGCAAACTGGCATAGGAGTTATCCCAAGAACCTGCATTTTAATTCCTTCTGGAGGTGTCAACTGTCATTGAGTTCTCTATATTAATTCTATCATTTTATGGTAAATGCATACTATATATAGGTGAGATAAAAATGGTTTTTTTGCTGTGTGTATATTATGTTTTTTGTCTGAGTGAAATAACGATCATGTTTGATGGAGATACAATGGGTAAAGAATTGCAGCCAGTGTTGTTTGGGTTATTTTGACACATTCACAATCCCAAACATGCTCTGCTTGAATGCATTGGCTTAAGTGTGTGTTTGTGAAAGGCAAAATGTGTGTGTGCTGTAGTTCTTTTCATTCTGCTTAAAAGCATGTGTAAACAGTGGTTGTTCTGCCTCTGAAGAAAATATCTCTATAAACACCCATTTTTAGCATTGCTTTACGTATGATAGAAGGACTGTAATGTAACAATGTGCATATGGAATCTTAATGCTGGTACTGGTTTATAATGGGTTTGGGTTAGGGTTTTTTTTTTGTTTGGTTTTGAAGAAGAGCAAAATTTACATGATTTTCTCCTCTGACCAATGGGAGTGGGTATCTGTGGGACTTGGAAAAATGGGAGAAATCAGATAAACATGCTCTGAAAATTTCTATTTATTTGGTGTTTTTTCTCATGTCAATAAAAGAGCAGATGGCTTGAATGAATCAATCTACTTTGGATCCATAATTTAACTTGGTTTTAAGATTGCAAGGTTTGTGATTGTTTCTTGAAATAGTTGTATTTCTGCTATTTTATTCTCTTCACTAGAAATGTTGAACGCTTTGGAGAACAGGGTGACAGAATTTTTTCACAGATTGCAAATAAATCAGGTTGTTTTCTGATACTTTCCATGTGTGTAACTTGTGAAACCATGTTCCAAACACAGAGAATTTTATGCAACTCTTTTTCCTTGTGTCTGCAGAGGCTTTAATTCTTACTGATTTTCAAAGAAACTGGTTTGGCTGAGGAAAGTTATGACAATATAATCTCTGAAAGTTAAAGGATCCCTAAAATACTTCTTTAAAATGTGTTCCATAGCATTTAATGTGCTCCATGGTGTGGAGCTTGACTTTGCACATAGATCCTTCTTATGCCTGTGTTACTTTACTTGCTGTGAAGAGAATTTTGTCCTGGCTTTGAAGGATGTGAATTCCTTTGCCTCTGCATTGTGTGAGAGATAACGAGAATGAAAATCCAGCTGAGTCAGCAATGTGTTGTTGTGGCTGCTGACACAAACTGGGGGTGCTGTGTTAACCCTGCTTTGCACTGTAATGCACTATTTACCAGAGTCTGCACTTTGAAATTGCAATCTGGAGGAGTTTCATGTACTCAGTTACAGATACACCTCTGTGAGAAGGAGCATTTGTTGTTTTGGTGCCAAGTAAAACCCCCTTATTGCTGTGAGGTGAGGCTGTGGCTGCTCACTGACTGCAGGGCTCTGTTTGCTCACCAGGCAGCTCTCACTGGGCACACTCAGTGAACAGAAATGGGCTCTGTTGACTTCTGTGTTAGAGGAACCCAATCCTAAGCCTAGCATGGACTCCTGGGTGTAAATGAGTGTCTGAAAAGGAGAAGGATTTGTGGGAATTAATTGAAAGCAGGACTGGAAGGGTCTGTCAGTGTTGCTGTGTTCAGCCCCCTGCCCTCAGACAAGATCAGCTCTCCCATGGGAATATTTGTGTGAGTTTTAAGGAAGCTTTTTGGTTTTGATTGATTTGGATTTTCTGCTTTCTCTACAGATCGTTTTTGTGTCAAATGCAAGTTTATAATGTGATTGACTTTCTCATTTAAAAAGTCAGCCCCATCTGAGCCTGCTGGCTTTGGCAGGGCTGGAAGTTGGGGTGCAGTGGTGTGAGAGCTGGGAGTGTCTGGGCTCCAGTTCTGGGGAATCCAGCTCTTTAGAGTTTATTGCCCCAAATAACTCAGGAAAACAAATATGACTTATTTAAATGGTTTATTTGTTTTTCAGGGTAGGACTGTGTCTTGAACTTACACAAAGTAGGATCTGCTCTTATTTTAAAATAGATGTGTGTTAATTCTCACTTCAAGATTTTACCAAGATAGTTATGAGGGCTGACTCAAGGGAGCTTGTCTCCAGTGGAATCTGCACATTTAGACTGAATGAATTGTCCAAAAGCTACATAAGAAAAAGGGATTTGATTATTTGATGTCCCTGCATGTTTCAGGCTCTTCATTTCAACATTAGCCAGGAGCTGTATTCCAGTCATGTATTTCTGTGTAAACTGATTTTATTTAAACAAATCTGCCAAACTCTTTAAAGGTTTCCCTGGTGGCAGGGAGTGAGCACAGGTATTTATTCAGCCTTCAGCCCATGACCTTCCTGTAGAGGTGGGTTATGTCTCTATAAATGTGGAAATAAACAAAGGAGTGTTGGACATTTTACCTCCTTGATTGGAATGAAATCCTGGTTGTGCTGAGCTGCTACAAAGAAACTTCTCTTTGCTTCCATGTGGCCTTGCTTTACCTTCAATAAACATTGTTTTATGTTTTTTTCATTTATTTGAAATGCTTTACCAAGTTTATTTGTTTGCTTATTTGTTTGTTTGCTTTTTAAAATCCAAGCTCTGACAGAACCTTCTGACACAGCAGAATTTCACAGCTTTACAGGGGTGAGAGACCTGGGGCAGGGCTTTTTTAACAGAAACTTTTAGATTTTACCTTTAGGCCTGTTTATGCTACTCTAAGTGGGCCTCATGTTCTCTGCTACACTTTGACAAAAAGGTAAATAAACTCTTATTTATTTCTAACATTTTTACCTGTGTACTTTTAAATTGGTTTTGCATTTTTTTTTTCAGGGTTGTCGTCATCTCTAACAGACAAGTTTTTCCAATGTATTTAATTCCAATATTTGAGTTTTTTCTTTTCCCTTATTCTATGAAGAAAGAAACTTTTGTAGCAAGTGAGGAAATCCAAGCATAAGGCTTCATTGGCAAAAAAGGGAAACACCTGAGGCACATCTGCCTTCCCACAGAAGGCTTCCAGCCTTGCTTGTCCCCTGCATGCATCAGACTCTCCAATCTTTAGTGATTTGAAAACTTTGTCAAGAAAATAACATTGCTTTCCTTTTACATAATAATTGTGCCTTTGAGCAGGCTTTGATCTGGTGGATGCAGGAGTCCCATCCATTTCCTGTGCAATCCTTGTTGGAATCTATAAAGTTAGAAAGTTTTTAGGAAATGGTTAAAAAAGTATGTAGGCTTTAGACTGAAGTTTTGTTAGCATTGCAGATACAGCAGAAAAGTTTTTTAAGCAAGCAGAAAAGTTTCCCAAGCAGTAGACGTGACAAATAACAATAGGCCTCTGTAGAATTAGCTTTAAGATAGCAACAAGGTTATTTAATGTATAT